GAAAAGAGGAAATAGGGTTGACAAAGTGCTTCAGAGTGTCCTGAAAGCTTATTTGACAGAGTGTGGTTTCACAAGCCAACATTGGTGAGCACTAACTAACTGCAAGCAGGCAACCCTACAGCCTCTTGGTGGTGGAAAGGATGGCTTTTTTGACCAGAAACAGCAAAGGCAGAAAAAGCACGGAAGACCAAAGAGAGTACCATAGCACCAAGAGCAGCAGATTAGTAGCAGACTGGCTGAAGTGTTGTACAGTATTGGTAGTTAGCATTGAAGCCAGCAGCAGAAGCAGATAACAGAGATGTGCAGTGAGCAGGCCTATTCACCTTCACTATTAAGCTGCCGGAGAAGACAAAGAAACTGTGTGCTTGGAGCAAGCAGATATCCCTTCCAGAACTCTTGTTTTCCCATTTGATGCGTTTGAGAGAAGCTGGGAGAAGACAAGAGAAATAATAGGATCTGGAAGATGCCAAAAGCTGGAAAGGCACTGGATGTATGCTTCCCTAGGTAACAAAACACCTTCCACTGCCCTTGTCAACGGTTATCACTTCCAAATCAGGACTGCTTTCCAGGTCCACCAGTAACTGGTCAAGCTACAGTCTGAAGAGCTCATACCTAAGTTTGCAGAGATTCACAGCGACTCTCTTGAAAATAAATCTCAGGTTCAGCTTACTTTTCCTTTGTTATGTAGCAATCCATAATATCTGGTGACATAGCCTTCAGCACACTTTATTAAATTGAAGAACACTGTGAAACACCTATTTGTATTTTGGAGTAAGATTGAAACATGTCATTATGTCAACAACTATCAATGCCTGTACAACAGCAGGCATCTAAGCATTTTTTTTATTCATTCTTTGCTGAAGTCTCTCTTGAGACTTTGATTCTCTCCGTGAAAGACTACGGTGCAATCTATACATACATTTGCATAATTATGAACCGACATTTTTATAAAACTTGTATTGTGCTTTTCTCTTCTGTAATTGTCCTGGTTTTGGCAGGGATAGAGTTAATTTCCTTCATAGAAGCTAGCATATTGCTGTGTTTTGGATTTAGTACTAGAAGAATGTTGATAACACACTGATGCTTTTAGTTGTTGCCAAGTAGTGCTCAGACTACTCAAGGACTTTTTGAGCTTCTCCTGCTTGGGCAGGTGCATAACAAGCTGGGAGGGAGCACAGCTAGGACAGCTAACCCAAACTGACCAAAGAGCTATTCCATACCATATAACATCATGCTTGGGGGCGGGGGGGGCAGTTAGTCGGTCGGTCGGTTGCGGGGGTAGTGATCGCTGCTCGGGGACTGATGGCGGCTCGGGACGGGCTGGGCATCGGTTGGTGGGTGGTGAGCAAGTGCATTGTGCATCATTCGTTTTGTATATTCTGTATAATCTGTTACCATTCTTATTATTACTATTATTGTTATTTTCTCTTATTAAACTGTCTTTATCTCAGCCCACGGCTCTAACCTTTTTTTTCCTTCCCGATTCTCTCCCCCATCCCACTGAGGGAGGGGGGAGTGAGCGAGCAGCTGCGTGGTGTTTAGTTGCCAGCTGGGTTAAACCACGACAGTAATGGAACAACTTGTTTTCTGATAGTTCAATAGGGAACTGGGGAAATTTCTTTTTTAATGATATATGGGCATGTATGCTCAAAAATGTCATACCGCAACACCTAGATGACAATGGTCTCCCGAGCAAAGACTACACATCATGATTCAAACCTGTAGGATTTCTACGTTTGCTACAACACCTTCCTTTACCAATCCTTGCACCAGCTGATGGGCCAGCATAAAGAATCAGATACTAACTTGGAACACTGCTCCTCTTTAATTTCCCCTCCTGTTACAGGAGAAAGAGAATAACATTGTTCCCTTCTCTAACTACCCACCCGTAGTTGAAGAGAAAAACTTTTAGAATTGAATTGAAGGGTATGGAGCACAGCACAATCAGTAGGCGTACCTGACCTGCCATCTAACTGCTTTATCTACCCTGCATAATACTGTGTAATACCACTGCAGGTCCCAGCAATAACATAGCTACATTGATGTGGTACACTAACCTGGCTATTTTCATCTACTTCTAACTTGTCTATATGCAGTGCTACTCTGACTAACCTGTGACACTGAGGTGACCTACTCAGAGACAGCATATAAGCTCATTTACAGGGACAGACAGACGCATACATCCATATATATATGTATGTATGTATATATATAAAAGGATGAGCATGAGGAAGCGCCAGCTGCAAGCAAAAGCTTCGCTTGAATAACATTAATGGAAAGACGCACATGGCAGCTGCATGATGGAGAGAATGTATGAATTCCTCCTTTCTGTAGGAGCAACCAAATAGACACATGGAAGCTAATCATCTCCTAAGCTCATTAAGATGTAAAAACAAAGCACTAAGAAAAGGAGACAGTGCCTCTTTGGCTATTAGGTATAAGAATAAAATAGAGCTTGCTGTTTCAGCATCTGGTACTAGCCACTGTCGTGCATGATATGACATAAAATGACATTTTCTGTGCTCCTGTGACTTGCATTCCTTTCAAAGGTACCTATGGCACATTTTAGGCATCAGACATATCCCATATCAGATCTCAGATTAGGGGCATTCTTCCAACTTCAACTTCTTATAACCCTTTTCCCAAACTATGTTTTTTATCTCAAAAGAAAAAAAAAAAGTGAGAAAATTGTAATAGTTTTTGTTTCATTTTAATGATTTCGGTAACTTTATCATGGGAATAGTTCACCTTCAAAAATCAAGGCAATGCAAACCAAACTGATTAAAACTGTCATTTGCCTATTTTACACCCTATAGGTACTCAAGTGCCGGAGTCAGCTCTCAAACATGGCAGGTAATTGCATTTACTGCATTATTAGTTCAAAGGCACAGTGAGTTTTTGGTTCATGACATTTCTAATACGTCAAGTAAAAGCAGATGTCTTCTGTAAGTGAAATATACAGGAGAGATGCAGCAGAACTACACTAATCCACACACTCAATTTATATGGACAACTTGTGTTCTCAGCAAGGATTTAAAGCATAGGTTTATAAATGTCTCATATTTCAATATTTGAATATCACACTTTTTATCAAAGAACATTTAGTTCATTTACTAGCATCTTAGAAAAAAATGTAAATGGTAAGAACTAGACAGCAAATTAGAATTCTTGCCATGAAACTTTCTATCAATCATTTCATTTCCACAGGATGCTTAATGATATTTTATACTGGAAAATGACAAAGCAGAAAACAGATTTACCTAAGTATGTAAGAACATAGGGTATTAGAAGCGGCAAATAGATCCTTAAAGCAGTACAGCTCTTTCTGTAGTTGAAGATTAGCATTGGACCACCTTTGGGCCAAGACCTCCCATTTCTTAAGTTATTAGGTACAAGGTGCTTGGGCTACTTAAGCCATGCCAGTGGCAGGAAGGCTGCACTCCTTTTACTCCTGCAGGGACCACAGAGAAGCAGAGGACTGGTGGCTTGACAGAGAAATTTTCTCAAAGGAAAAGACTGAATCTTTTGACAGTTCCAAAGGTAAATCAGATAGTAAAACCCCAGTTTGGTCCCATCTCAACAGAGACACGTGTGCCAACCTTGACAGAAAAGAGGAACCACATACACTTTTTTCTTCACACACAATGGTGCTCAGAATGTATTTTATGTAAGTACAAATTCATGTGGTATCTAGAAAGTCAACTTCTTAACATTAAAATTGCATAATATTTTCTTCATTAAATTTTTATCTTTATATGAATTAGAAAAGCTCTAAAATGATAGCATTTTTGGGTTGGGGCTAAACATTAATATATTTACTGCTTCAAATATTGTACTTCTAAATATACTATGATTGATATTTCAAAGATACTCCAAATAAACTTAATTAGTATTAACACAGTACATGAAACAGTCCACCTTGCACGGATCTGCTTCCATGTTAAGTTATAAGCACATAAAACCAGAAACTGTGTATTAGCTTCTTTTGCATGGTATTAGGAAAATAATCTGAAATCTGCTCTACGGCTGTCATATGTATGCACTGCAAACAGCAAAACTGAATGTAAGTCTAATGTTATATGGCAGAAGCCATATTTTACAAATTTCCATTAAAGTGTTTTTGTATGATCTGCATGAACAGCTAAAAGCAAATTCCAGGACAATTCAAGATCAATGTTATTCTTTAACAGCTTTTTGTACAGTTGTGCTTTACAACTATGGTTCAAACTTATTCATAAGGATAGGGTCTACCATAACTGAATACATCATGAATAATGCTTGGTTTAGTGTTGATTCAAACCTTAACATTTTTTTAATTTGGATCAATCTGATCAGACTACTCACCACCCCACAACAAGTGTAAGCGGCACATCGGGCAGTTATTGTCAAGTTATGAAAACAGCTTAATTTCTGGTTTACAGGACAAGTACCATACTCGGGTACAGTCTAGGGGGAAATTTTGCCTTAAGAACCTATATATATAGTGCAAACTTCAGACAGACTATTGAATAACAATGAATAAATATGGCTTAAAATTATCTATGTTTCCCTATTAATCTGCTGAACGGAGCTGTCTCAAGTCTTACCATCTTGCAAAAATTCCCATTTTCAAAAAGTGACTTTTCAGGAAGAAAACATTTTTGGTGATAAAAGAAAAACAAATTGGGGGAAAGTAAGTCTGAGAAGTAGCACAAGAATTTTTGGGAGGTATTTCTGTATCAAACTGGTACACAGATTCCATATTACTTCTTACTATAATATTACTATGGAATTT